CTCTTTCCTTTCAAAGTCCTTTGTCCAAGTATAATATTACTTGTGACAGAGAGTGAAGCCTTTATGATGAGATAGATTTGAATCCTGGAGGTATCATGGGCATCTCCATAACCTTGGGAAAATTATTTAACCCTTCTAAGGTTTAAACTTCTTAATCATTAAAAGGGTGGTTTTTATCTACCACATTGGATTTTATTTTTTTTAAAAAGTGTAAATAGTATAATTGGCCTAGTTCATTACTTGACACATAGCAGAATTCTATACCAGTTGGAAAACTAGAAATCACACATTAGAGAGATCTGAATATGCAGAATAATTGAAGCTAGTATCGAGAACTAAAAAAGTTACCTGGAGGTAACAGAGAAAAAGTAGCAGCATAACTCAGCTGCAGGAGCAAATGGAAAGAGATGGCATGTTAGGATGTAAATGCTGGGAGGAGGAGGTCCCGTGAATGAAACTCAGACTTTTGAGGAGAGGGCCCCCCCGGCCCCCGCCCGCCGCCCCCCCGCCCGGCTCCCTGCCGCCGCTGGCCTAGCAGGGCCCCAGGGGGGACACGCACAGCCCAGAAGGGCCCGCGATGTCCCGCGGTCGGACGCAACCTTGGCGCCCGCCCGCCTCCTCATCCTAGAGTCTTAATAGTTTTCTCCTGTAACATATTACTAAACTGTTATTGTGTTGCATTCAGCTTACTGCACTGAGAATTTGGCTTCTAATTTACTGAATAATAAATCTTTTGAGGCTAGAATCTGTCGAATGAGTTCCCTGACTTTAGCTTATCTTTAAGATCATGACATGAGAAGTATTCTGAACATAATACAAAATAAATTCCTGTATTATTCATAGGAATTAGGCAACACTGTTTAATGCATAGGTTCTTGGGAGTGCTAGACTGTTTAGAGTTAAACTTAACATTATTTTTGTTTGTTTTTTAATTGTCTGAGGGCTTGTGTGCTCACCGGCAAGGGACAGAAAGAGGGAGAAAGCACTTCCAATGGGTGTGTCAGATTGTAATCCCTTCTCCTTTTCTCCATCCTGTTAGGATTTTGGAAAATAACTGGCACTGGCATTTTTTTTTCAAGCAATACATGCTAGGGCGGGATTCAAAGTGCCATGAACTTGGATATGGGATCTGGCTCCCTTAGCCACTAGGCTACAGATGCCCAACATCGGTTTGTTTATTTAATCTTTGAAGTGGATGGTTTTATTTAGCAGGGTCCAACAAGAGTGAAGGAGATGTGGGTCCCTCTCCATGACACAGTGGTATGTATTGCTCAAGAGAAGCTGGATCACACAGGGAGATTATGGTTCAAATCCCTGGCTCCGTCATCTTGAAACATACTGGGCACACATGTGGGTGTCCAAGATCTGATGGTCTGGAGAACTGGAGGAAGGGGATCACAGTGGTACCAGACCCTGTGGGGATGCTCATCTCTCTTTAGCTCTCTGTCACTTGTGCACACACATGCTTTATCAGGAACAGCAAAACATAGTAATAAAAAGGGAAAAGAAAAAAGATATGGAAGGGAATTCCAGATAGAAGGTATGAATTCAGAGGAAGAGTCCCCTATCGAGGTCATGTGCCTAATTTGGAACCTGATTCCTCAACAGTGATGTCCTTTTCTTAGCCAGGATGTGATAAATAGTTTCAAATAACACTCTGGAAGAGGTCATGTAAGTCTTGCCAATTTCCAGCTTTGTTAATTGGGTTCTAGCATGAGTTCATTTATACAGACCAAATTTTGTGTGGGTATTTGTCCTCCAAGGAAATAATACTGTGTTTAGAAATGCCTGCGTCTAGGTAGCTTCCCTTTAGACCTTGGGCTACTTCAAATACTATTCTGAAGCTGTTGAATTAAAATTTGGCTCCAGGTTAAATAATTGATTTGAAGAGACAAACCTGTAGGATTTCCTCCTCACAACAGTTCTCTGATATCTGAATATTGTCCTTTTCAAGGGTACAGAGGGAAGAACTTGTGCCACTGTATCCTTTGAGCTGCCTACACGTTCACAACCCAAGGCCTTTGGGACTGAAGGGCTTCAGAATGTGCAGACATTCTGTTCTTCCTGAGACCTAAATAAACTTAACAGACCTGTAGCTGTCGGTTTAACCCCTTTGTAGTCCTTGTCCAAGTGAAGCCAGTGAGCTGGAAGTGGCTCTGCATGGTGCCTTGATCTTCAGGTGTCTTAGCTTTTGTTAAATATATGTAGAGATGTAATCCCTCAGCAGATTTTGTGTCTGGCTGAGAGTTGGTTTCTCATTTGTTATGGCTTTTTTGGCTTCATCCATCTTGAAATGTATCTATGAGTATACTGATTTCAGTGATATGGAATACAGTCAACATAACATATTAGTGGTCCAGTCCTAAGGATTACTGTTATAAATTTCCATTGATTCTTTTTTTTTTTTAAGAATTATGCATTTATTTAATTTTATTTGTTATTATTATTTTATAATTTTTACTAGAGAGAGAAAGGGAAAGTGAGAAACCAAGCCACCAGGTTCAAGACTTGAACCATGGTTGGCTATGTGGTAGTCCAATGCCTTAACTATCATGTCACCTGCCAGCCCTCCATGGATTCTCTTAAAGGGGACTTGGGCTGAAATGGGATTGATTCTGTGATAAGACTTCGAAAACCACCATCTGGAGAGAAGTATTCTTGGTAGGGTACTGAGCAGATAGAGTTAGGGCATCACCTGAGCTGGGTGCATTTGGGAAATTTGAGAATGACAACTCACTGGGATCCAGGGTCTGAGTTGATGAGTCCTAGGAACTAAGTTTGTCAGTTGTTGCCTCAGATTTGAGATAACCAGTGGTGGATTCTGAGCACAGGAGCAGCGTGTTGCAAGTGGCTCCTGGGAGCTGCAGCTGGCAGTCAGCATAGTGGAGGGGACCCAGAGGGAAGCAGGCATCCGCTAGTCACGAGAGAGGAGGCTCCTGTGGGTGAATGATGAGCTTGTGGTGGTCATGCAGAGGGTGACAACTGAGGGCCAGTGTGATGTTTAGGAGTTATTGTTTATTTCTTAGAAATAAACCAAAAGAGAGATCCCATTATCACACCTAAAGAAATAAACAGTAGTTTTTTAAATATAAACTTCTAAAATAAACCAGTGGAGTGAACTTGGAATGTGTACAACTTAATGTAATGCTAAAGCTGAAGATGATGGGTGTGATATGATTACTACGTACTGAGGACATGGCTGTATAAAAATCATACTGCACCCCACAAAGATATACCATGATTATATGTAAATCAGAAATTACAGAAATGAGATTGTAAAACTGAGCAGTAATTTTTAGAATGTCATTAACTATTGTCAGTGTTCTCATTTCTAGGGTTTTCATGATGATAATGCGTTGATTCATGGTTCGTTTGGATCAGGATCCAAATAAGTCTGCACATAACTATTTGATATCTCTCTTAAGCCTCTTTATTCATGGACTTGTCCTCCACCTCTGTTTTTCTCTACTAGTGAACTATTTGTAGAAGAAACCAGGGCATTTGTCCGTAGCCATTGCTGAGTCATGCTTTTCGTGAATGCAACCTTGTGGTGGTGATGGATATGTCCCTCTAGCCTCTGTATTTCTATTACCTGGTAGTTGGATCTGCAGGTTTGATCAAATTGTACTTAACCCTAAGGCTTGATTCTCATTCATGTACAAAATAGTATTACACTCACTGTGGAGCTAGGTTTTCCTATTTATTGGGATGAGTGATGGTCAACTTTTAGCTTTTATTTTCTCGTAATAATATACCTTAATCTGTACAGATGTTAAGTATAATTGGACAAGTTCTGACAAATGCATACATTCATGGTACCGACTCCCAGAACCTCATCATTCCTGTGTATACCTTAATCTGTACAGATGTTAAGTATAATTGGACAAGTTCTGACAAATGCATACATTCATGGTACCCAGAACCTCATGATTCCTGTGGGAAGTTTCCTTCCATCCTTTTGCCTTCTATCCTTTTCCTCCAGAAGTATCCACTATTCTGCTTTTTATCCCCATAGATCAGTTTTACTTATCTTGAACTTCAAAGAACTGAGAGCATATAGTATCAGCATTTAGTCTTAATACAGTCTAGTGTAAGGTAAACATTTATTCAGTGGGTAAGAACTGTGTGCCATGATCTGTGTTGTGCCTGGAACTACAAAAATAACTGACGGCTAGCAGTGGGGACAGCAGGCTAGTTAAGGAGTGATTTCAGAGGCAAAGCTGCGAGCCCTCGAGCTCTGTCTTCCCTCCATCTTCCCTCCTGCAGCCCCAGGACCCACTGCTAGCTGGGGCTGCAGGAGGGGAGAGGGAGGGAAGACAGAGCTCGGGGACTCTGCGGTGAAGATGAAGAGCCGAGGTCTCAACATTCTTGCTGCTCTCCGGTAACGGATCCAAGTATTTAACTTTGGCCTGTGGGTCTTTTGTCAGTTTCCTGCATATGCACAGGATTTCCTCACTGCCCTGTGTGTGTTCTGATGAAAGAGGGGACTGGGGATGTGGAGGAATAGTTTCCTCCTACAGGTATGAGGACTGAGAACTCTGGGTGAACAAGCGAAGCTGTGACACCGATGCTGCTCTTCCTTCCTCTCTCCCACTTCTCCAGGAGCATGGTCTTTTCATTTTCTCTGCTTTCCACAGAGGGCTCAGTCAGTGGCCAAGTTCCCGTAATGCACTTTTACTAAGCAAAGCAGTTAATAATTTTTGGGTATTGTTGTGCAATGAACCTTTGCATATTACTAAAGTTATCTGAAATCTTGGATCCTGGGTGCCATGTAGTTTACCACATATGGTGTTATTGTATGTAACTATGTATAATGTACTATATGCTATATGTATGTATATGTGTATATGTGTATTTGTCCAACTGATTAACTTTATAAGGTCAATGAAGAAAGAGTACTGAAAAAACGTTTTTGAATTAATGATTAAGTTTTCCTTAAACACAAACACAAAGAAGATAAAATTACTGAAGAGCACTCATTTTTTCTTTCCTTTCTCCAGAACCATCCGCGTATGGCTGAAAAGAGACAGTGGTCAGTACTGGCCCAGCATTTACCACACAATGGCCTGTGAGTAGCCAAATTGTTCCACTGGAGGGATATGTTACCAATGCCTTTGATGATTTAGATTTCAAAATGTCCTATTAAAAATTAGTACCACGGGACCAGCAGATGGCAGAATAGTTACATTGCTGGACTCCCGAGTGGCAGACCATTATTCAAGTCCCGGACCTGGAAGCTTGAAACTCATGCCGGGCGCATGTGCGTGTTTGCCCAAGATAGTCAGAGGAGAATGGAGAAGAGATTGCAGCATGGCCATCCCCCCCCCCCAAGGGGGGGTTTTCTCACTTTCTATCTCTCTGTCTCTTTGGTGAGTGTACATGCCCTATAGCAAAAATCTCTCTTAAAAAAATGCTACTACATTTGGGATGGGTTTCTTAGTTGCCTAATATTTCTGACAGGCTGCAATAAACTGCAGGAAAACACATTTTGTGAAGGAAGTTGCGTCTACTGGCTTAGTTGAAGCTGACTTGAGCAAAACTAATAAAAGTTAAAGAGGAAAAGGGGCATATTCCTGTACAATTCGCAGCTTTATTACAGGCTTTTGCTCAACTTTTCCATAAACATCTGGGTACTGCTGAGAGATCTGGTTCAAGATTTGGCACCTTCTTGGGCATGTGCGCTTGCCAGAGAGACAGTGTGTCAACTACTTGAGAGTCCCGCGACGTAACCATTACTCCATCTGCTGGTTCCCAATACAGCACATTCTAAATAGTCAGTTTTCTTAGTAGTCAGGTACGTTCTCATTTTTGTTTGTTTGCCAGAGGGCAGGTGTGCTCTCCAGAGAGACAGAGGGTGAGGGAGAGGGAGGAAGCACCCTCAAGGATATGTAGTAGGCATGAGGCAGTGCTCCAAGCACCTCTGTCATTGGTGTATACGTGCAATATTCGTAATATTGTAATAATTTCCACAGAAGTTGTGATTATTAGGATGGTTATTTGCTTTACTTTTTTTGTTTGTTTGTTTGGAGAGGTTTTTTTTCTATAGGGTGCATGTGTTTGACAGAGAGACAGAGACAGAGAGACAGAGAGACAGAAAGCGAGAAATCACCCCCCCTCCCCCGAGGGAATGGCCACACCACAATCCCTTCTCTTCCATTCTCCTCTTGGGATCTTGGGCACGCACGCACACACACCCGGCGTGAGTTTAAGCCATTGGGTCCGAGACTCGAACCGTGGTCGACTGCATGGGAGTCCAGCGACATAGCCATTACACCAACTGCTGGCCCCCATTTGCTTTACTTCTCTTCTATCAACAGTTTTGGCAGGCTGGTCAACATCTGTCTTGACAATCATTCAATAAAAATGAAATAGACACTTTGGAAAACTGGTGTAAGAATAACTTTCATAAAAAAGCAAATATAAAACTTTACATAGCACAGAAGAGGAGTGCTCGGAAACCTGATTACACTGTGTGGTGCCAAGCAGTGGTGTGTTCTCGTTTCCCACATGTGCAGGCTCTGTGGACACGTAGTCTTGCTTTCTCACCCTGCATTCTCACCTTGACATATCCAGTGTCTTGGAGTTATTTCTGGAACCTGGTGATAAACTTACTTGGTTGGGAATTTTTGGAGCAGGGCAGAGGTGTGACACTTACCCTGTACCCAACTAACATAATACAAAAGGAGAAGGGGACAGGGAATTTTCATTAGGCTAACTTACTTCTGGGTAGTCCAGTGGTGGATCTGATAGCAAGAAGAAGCAACAGCCTGAGGAACTCCCACCTGTGCTAGGGAATGTGTGTCATTGTGGAAAATCTTGTTAAAGCTGTTGCTGTTCTTTCTCTTAGCCCTCCCCTCCTAGGTAGTTAATATTTTAGTCATAGCTTAATTTCCTTGACTCTTCATCCCAGGAGTTCACATTCTTTAGAACAGATAGAGCAACTGCAATGGCTTTTGTCTTATATTTGGTTCAGTTATTCCTGAATAACTGAACTTGGATTCCACCTGATATGTAGTATAGCTTTGTAGCTAGTTTCTCTCCCAGGGCACCCCATCCCTGCAGGAGACATGTGTGCAGGAGAAGGGCTCTCCCTTGGCTGTTAGATCTGGGCACATGGCCACGGCTCTCTGTTCCCATCCCTCCCTGTCTTGGCTCACTATCCCCCAAACAGTTCCCAGCCCAGGAAGGAGTGACTGGAAAAAGCTGTGGATGGCCCACACCTGTGTGTTTATATCTTTACGTGTTCAGTCTCTTGCTTCCAGATGCTTCTTTGTTAGTCCCTCTGGACCCTCATTTACTAATAAAACTATAGCAATACCACAAAAATAGAGTGAATGGACTAGGAGAAATAACTGTTCGTCTCTTTTAGAATAACTTTTATTTCAAAATGAAAAGTATGAGAAGGGTGCCTTGTTGGTTCTAACACATTACTCCATTTAGGATGTTTTAGTGGTTAGCTAGCAATATAACCTTTTTCTTGTGACCCGACAGGGAACAGTAAGCTGCATCTTCATATATTGCTATGTGCAGTTCAGTTTTATTCTGTAGCATTGCCTTGGATAGCAGAAGTAACTTCCATTACCTGCTGTAGCTGAAGAAAATGGTAACTCTTAGTTTCTGTATTTACTATGTGCTTCATGCCTTTTTTAAAAATAGTAGAATTTTATTAAGTCATCACAGCTATGTAGGGCAAATGATATTTTTACCATTTTATGGATGAGGAAACTGAAGCCAGAAAGGTTAAGTCAATTGCAGTGGCTGGAATTCCAGTCTACACCTGACTCTGCAACGTCACCAGTACGGTTACAGGATGGGTCCATGGACCTCTTCCACCTTGGGCCAGACAGTAAATATTTAGACTCTATGGGCCAACTTGCTTCTGTGGCAACTGCTCAGCTCTGCTGTAGTAGCCTGAAAGCAGCCGTAAGCAGCACGTAAAGGAAAGGGCCTGGCTGTGTTCCAAAGGAACAAAAAGCCTTTATTAACAAATCATGCGGCAGACTGAAATTGGCCTTCTGGTCTAATCCGGAGTTTTAAACATATGATTTGGACTGCAGTGATGTCTTTTCAAAGGTCCACTGATTTGAAAGATGATTTGTTTTTGCTTGTTAATAAAATTACATGATTATCCAACCCCTCCCCTTCTTTTTAAACTTCGTATTGCTTGTCTCAATAGAAATATTCAGGAAAAAAACCATGCCATCATTCTATACAAAACAAACCAGGGAAGCTTTTCCTTCTTTCTTTCTTAAATATAAAAATTCTCTAGTCTTGGGTCTAGCAGGGGGCATGGTGGTTAAGATGCTGGACTCCCACATGGCTGACCGTGGTTCAAGTCCTGAACCTGGTGGCTGGCTCGCTTGCTTGCTTTTTTTTTTTTTTTTTTGAGAGGATTTTGCTATAGGGCACGTTGTGCTTGCCAGAAAGAGACAGAGAGATAGAAGGTGGGAAATCACCCCCCAGGGGGCATGGCCACGCCGTAATCCCTTTTCTTCCATTCTCCTCCTGGGATCTGGGGTACGCACGCACACTCACCCGGCATGAGTTTAAGCCACTGGGTCCGAGACTTGAACTGTAGTCGACTACATGGGAGTCCAGAGACATAGCCATTACGCCAACTGCTGGTCCCTCTTTCTTTTTTAAAAAAGAATTATTTTATTTGTTTATTTATTTGGTCAGCGAAAGGGAGAGAGAGCGAGAGATGGAAAGTGAGAAAGCAAGCTATCAGGTCCAGGACTTGAACCAGTTGTTGGAGTCCAGCGCCCTTACCCACCACGCTACCTGCCGGCCCCAGCTGGTTTGCTTTCTCTCTCTCTCTCTTTCTATCTCTCTCTCATAAGAACACATGCCTTAAATAATTTTTTTTTTAAAAATGAAATTCTCTAACCTTATAAATTTACTCCAAACATTGTAATTTTTACAGAAAAGGATTTTACATTTTGATGTAGTTAGTTAAAAGGGTTAGGCACTAAAAGAATTGAAAGAAAATGGAATTTTGATTGTACGAAGTTATATATATCTTTTTTTTTTTTTTTGAGAGGTGTTTGCTATAGGGCTCATGCGCTGTCCAGAAAGAGAGAGATAGAAAGTGAGAACTCACCCCCCAGGGAGATGGCCATGCTGCAATCCCTTCTCCTCCATTCTCCTCTTGGGATCTTGGGCACACACACTCACGTTCCCAGCATGAGTTTAAGCCACGAGGTTCAGGACTCGAACCGCAGTCGACTACATGGGAGTCCAGCGACATAGCCATTACGCCAACTGCTGGTCCCAAAGTTATACATATCTTTGTGGCTGTAAGTCTTACACAGTTGCACTTTCTAGTCTACATCAACATGATGGATAAGGGTTCCCAGGCTTGTAGCTAATTTGAACTTTTTTGAATACAATTTACTTACTTCCCTTTCAACTACACATAAGGGGACTTCAAAAAAATCAATGGAGGGAACCAGCAGTTAGCGTAATGGCTATGTCGCTGGACTCCCACATAGTCAACCGCGGTTCGCGTCCCGGACCTAGTGGCTTAAAACTCACGCCGGGCGCGTGTGCGTGCGTGCCCAAGATCCCGAGAGGAGACTGGAGGAGAAGGGATTGTGGCGTGACCATCCCCCCTGGGGGGTGATATCTCGCTTTCTGTCTCTATGTTTCTCTCTGTCTGGCGAGCGCACGCGCCATATAGTGAAAAAACCTCTCCTAAAAAAAAAAAATCAATGGAAAAAATATTTATTATGAAACAAGTATGAATGCTTTCAAATATTTTGTACCAAAACAGACTTGTGTACTTTAATTTCATTTCCCACAAACTTTTAAACTCCACTTGCAGTTCTTGAGTGCAACTTAAACTGTTCTTAAGGTCTGATCATGAGTTTTCTTTCCTTTGGTTACAATCAATGTTACAACTTTCTTTCTTCCTTTCATGGAGAATATCAATTCATAGGTAGTAGAGAGACAACTTTAAACTATTTTCAAATGGTGGCTATATTTAGAAGACTTTCTTTTTTATTTAAAAGAAGAAGAGAAGTTTTATTTAAAAGTAAAGTTAGGTTCTTTTGTTTTGCCTTGTTTCTATCCTGGCATGTATTTCCTTATTGTGGAGCTTCCATTGCTAATTTGTTTTTTTAAGGTTTTTGCCATAGGGTGTTGCCCTCACCTGTGAGAGACATTGAGAGGGATAGTGAGAAATCACCCCCAGGGAGGATGTCTATGCCACAGTCCCTTATCCTCCATTCTTCTCTTTGGATCTTGGGCACATCCACACACTCACCCAGCATGCTTTTCAAGCCATCAGGTCCAGTACTCAAACCACAGTCAGCCATGTGGGAGTCCAGTGCCTTAACCACCACACCACCTGCTGGCCTCATCTAATTGAAATTCTTAAGTCCTGAAAGAACTCAAGCATTTCTATTTTCAAATGTTCCATTTCATATCTCATTTTAATTCTGATTTTTAGCAGGAGACAGTTTCTCCTTTCTGAAATTCATTCTCCGATTTCTAGAAGAAGGGAAGGTAGAACATGGGTTGGGGGAGGAGTGTGTTTATGAGACGGGGCAGATGTCTCTCCAGGGACTTCTCTCTGCTGTGGATGGAGAAACTTTTCTACCACACCTCAACAACTACAGAACTGGCTGAATGTGTCATTGCAAAAGGGAGAGTTTTTGATGATTGAGGAAGAAAAGTAACCCCACAGTGGCTTTCCCATGCATCATAGAGTGAGAACTCTAGTGCTGGGAACC